AAAAATATTTTAATTATTTTATTGTTAACAATTATACTGATATAATGTAATTTTGATATTAAAAAATAACCATGGATCATTTCAATATTTTATATCTGATTACTCAATTAATTATTTAATTAAATAATTAATTAATTATACGGACTAAAATCTTAGTCCGTGATTAAATGTTAAAATACTAATAATAATAATTAAATAATGCAGTAAGCTAATTAAGCTATAAGAAGTTTTGAAGAATTGAGAACAGATGACAATTTTCAGAAAGTATGAGAAAAGGCTACTATTGTTTCAAAAAATAATGGTTTTAGTGAACCTAACCTACCACGCATTAAATCAGTACCATTAAAATTAGGTGGTGGCAAAAAACAAACTATACAGACTGTTCAAGATCATTTTTGTATAAATGTATTTTTTGGAATTATAAATACAGCAATGATGTGCATGAAGAGTAAATTTAAAGAAAATTATTTAAGTTTGTTGAATTCTATGAATAATGTCTTATTTAATAAAAACCCTACTAATCAGTCAATAGAGGAAGTTTGTAATGCATACAAAATAGAATCAAATGATTTATCAAGTGAGATAAAAATAGTAAATAGATTATTTATAAATCATGAATGTGATACAATTATAAAAAATATAAATTATATTAGATCTAAAGATATTCAGACAGGATTCCCAAATTATACAAATATATTAAAGATTTTTTTAACTATCCCTACAAATACTGCATCTAATGAACGCAGTTTCTCAGCTCTACGGAAATTAAAAACATACTTAAGAGTCACAATGAGTCAAGAGCGATTGAGCAGTTTAGCAATCTTATATATACAAAAAGAAACCCTATAGATTTTGATAATATAATTGACAAGTTTGATGCTGAGGCTTCAATAAGAGGTCGTCGTTTGACACTGAAGTAGTGAAGTTGACAAATACCTAGTAATTATTATGTTACACACAGTTAATTTTTTTTTTTTTTCATTATTATTTATGTCAAAATAAAAAGTTGTTTTTTATTAATTTTTTACATATTCATGTACATATTTGAAATACAGAGACCCAATTGGAATAGTTATTAATAAAGACATTTTTTTAACTACATTTGTTGTAGCAATAGTTATATATTAGGGGGTACTGGAGGGCAACTTCCCTATTTATTTGTGAATGTTATTACCATAAACGTTTGCACCCACATAAGTTTCTACCAAGTGCCGCCTATGCATATTATAGATATTAAATTACACTATTTAAAATTTAAAATATTAATTATTAGATCATGAAGTCCATAGTGCTTGTAATTACTAAATATACTTATTAGTAATTAGAATAAAATGCTAATTAGAATAACATGCTAAATTGCATAATGTGCCATACAAACTTTAATGTGTTTGAGCCTTCATCGGGTAGTCAGCGCTCCTGGTGGCAGTTACAAGTGGTGTACTTTATTTCGGCCCACTACCATAATGTAAAAGATAGGGAGTATTTACACATCTATATACCCACCTGGGTGGTATATGGCTATATTACAAGACCATCTTGAAAGTAGTTGAAACTGACAGATTTAATATTTAACCACCAGATGGAGAATCCAGAAGACTCATATAAACATAATAAACATAATGGTTAACCATTAGGTCAAGTCAAAAGTGATGCTATCATCTTATTATAATATTGTTATATTTTATTATCAAAACGTGAAAAATGTGAGCTTCGTTTTTTTCAATTTTGTTTTTGAATTTTGTTCAAAGTTAAGTATTTTAAGGTATGTATAAATGATATTTTTCTACTGCATGATTTAGTTGCATACACAATTGTTTATCATAAATATTCATTCGAAAATAATAAAAGATCTGTAAAATAATAGATCTGTATACAGTGAGACAAATAAATCTATGTTATTACTTTTCTCTTTTTCATTTAACTATTTCCCTATAAGTTAACCTTCACTCCAAAATAAAAATGTTGAACTAAATTGTGATCATAATAAAGTGATAAAGGTTATTATTTTCTTTTTAATTTTTAAAACTTTAACATAAGACTGTTGAAATAAAAAAAGTGAATACCTACATTTTTTTTAATTGTACAAAAATACAATACATTATTTTTAAACTTGTTATAAAAATATCTTTAATTGTATTATCATATTATATAAGTGTTGTAAAATTAAAAGTTTAAATATTAAAGATAAACTACAAATTTAAAATGTTTTTTATTATGTACCATACCTAGTGCCCCGTGATGTGTTTCATTGTGTACAAGGCTGGGTCACAGTGGGACATCTTGACTTTTCTTAAAAAAGGTTCTCTGGGTTAAAATGTCATTACATTTTAGAATGTATTATTAATATGTTTTTAAATACTTACTAATATTTAGAATAAAACTATAACCCAGTTAAATGATTATCACTTAAAACAAAAAAAATATTTAAAAAATAATTTTTAGTGTCTCACTGTGGCTACCTCCGTTCGTGATCTTAAATGTTATTTAATTATGTTCATTATTTTGTATAGAATTATAAATACAAATCAGCTAACAGAAACACCAGAACCAATGAACTTGCGTATATCTGATACGTCTGGTATGACTGATGAACCTATTGATGTTGACTGCATAATACAATCGCAGTTGCTAACTTGTTGCTTTTCACTTGTTAGTATGCCACAGGATATAAATGCTGATGTAAATAGTTCTGATGGGGAATTGTTTGATATATCAGATCCCGATATTTCTGTTATTACTAACACTGATTTACCTATCGAGTATGAAGATTCAAAAGAAAATGATACCATTATTACAAAGTAATTATATATTATTATTACTACTATAGGTAGTATTACTACCTATACGGCGTTACAGTGTACATTCTTGTTTAAATATATTATTAGCGATTGTAAATATTTTTTAGGTCACTCGAAGGTCGTAGAATTGTTGATATACAACATTTATTAGCACAAATTCAACAGAGTAAACATGACAAATTCGACTGTTCATTCATTGACATGGAATTTCAGAACGAAATTCGTAAAGGATTCTATTCAATATTTAAATTTCAGTGCAAAATGTGTGGTATAAAATCTTCAATTTATTCAGAAAATATTATTAAACACAAGTACTTAGGAATTAACCTTGCAGTTATTAATGGTACTTTGGCTGTCGGTATGTATTTTGGAATTCTAAAATAAATAAAAATATTTACTTTATACCTGTATATTTTATAGTTTAAAGTTTAAAAAATTTTATTTTAACATTTTAGGGAACCTCAAAAACACGTTTTTAGAATTATCTACTGTTAAAAAATAACATCAAGCTTAATTTTTTAAATTGTTTTAATATTATTTCTCTTTACGTTTATACAGGTATAGCCGTATAGGTCACTCTCAACTTAGCGAATTTTGCGCCTCAGTAGAAATTCCTTCGTTATCGTCAACCTCATACTTAAATAATTTACCTACTGTAAGCGATGCTGTTAATGACAGCCTTATCGAGGATTTGAAAAAAGCTGGCGAAGAGCCATAGAAAACGGAAATGTTGATGAGCAAGGAGTCCCTATGTGCACTGTTATTGTGGATGGACAATGGTCCAAAAGAAGTTATAAAAAGAAGTTCAGCGTATTTTCTGGAGCTGTAAGATTTTTTTTAATTGTAATCATACAAAAGTGAAATAATAATTTTATTTTAATGTAGGCAGCAATCATTGGCTTAAAAATAAAAAAAGGTTCTGTTTGTTGGGGTACAAAATCATTACTGTTGTGTGTGCAAACGAGCTAATGTTCAAAAAGAGAAACCTCCTAGCCATTTATGTTTTCTGAATTGGAAAAAAACATCAACTGCGATGGAAGCCGATTCTATTTTAGATGGGTTTACACTTAGCCTCAGTATGCATGGTCTAAAATACAACAAACTTATCGGTAAATAATTTACTAATTAAATGTATTAATTATTAATATATTTAAAAAATTACATTTGATTTTAATTGTTTTTTAATATTAAACTAGGCGATGGCGACAATAGTGTAACCAAAAGGTTAAATGAAACGTTACCTTATGGGAGTGATTTTAAAGTTAAAAAAATTGAATGTCGGAATTACCTACTAAGAAATTACGGTACCAAACTAATGGCACTCTAAAAACGATCCAATTACCCAATAACTGTCAGAAATTGCATTATTAAAAATATTAAACTTCTTCGTTCTGACATAACAAGGGCAACAGATTATCATTTAAAGAACGATTCATCTATTCAACAAAAAACTGCAGGTATTTTTACTAGTATTATAATTGATTATAATAGGTGTATGATTGTTAGTGTCTGTTACTATTATTATTAAAAATTTAAAATATATATTGTACACCTACCTATTTCAAAATGTTTTATAAAAATTTTGTATGAATAGAAAGAAACCACTTTATTAAATAAATAATCCATGAAAATTATAAAAATAAAATTATTATTACTAACAATTACCTTAAAACAAATAACGCTATCGATCATAGGTTAATATAGGTAAATAGGTATTATTATATAATATATTATTATTATTTTATATAATTTTATTTATTTTTAGAACTAAGACGAGATAATATATCGAACAGTGTTTATCAGACTTGGTGAACACAAGAACTGTGCTGAATATTTTTGTTCTGGTCCGAAATTGGGTGAAATGAATCTTGTTCCTGATGCTGAGAAAACAGGAATGATGGGACATATTCGGAATATAATATACAGACTATCAGAATATAGACTGCAGATAGTCTTATAAGAAATGTAGAAAACAACCCATGCGAACAATTAAATAGCTTGATTAATAAGTATGTTGGAGGCAAAAGAATTAATATCACACAAAAAAATAACTACACTACTATAGTCGAGGCAGCTGTAGTGGCATTTAATTCAAAAAACTATTTACGAGTTGAGAAAAAAATAATTTTTAAAAGCCCAGGTATAAATTCAAAACGAAAAAAACAATCTAAATTAACTACAACTCGATTTAGTGGGCTGGATATGCACTATGGCTCAGGAGAACCCTTAGATGATATTCTTACCGAAGAAGAATTAAGTAGAAATCAAAATTTATTTTTAAAAAAATTGGAAAAAGTTGATCGAAAAGAACTTGAATGTACTACAAATGTACAAAGTCATAGCGAAACCTGGTACAATGAAACAAGTTGCCGAAAAAAAGTATTTAGTCTTCTTTATGGCTCAAAAATTACATCAAGAGGAATTTCTCATGGTATTGAAATAGAACCTCAAGCTAGAGCTTAATTTAAAGTTTTAACTGGAAAGACTGTTGAGTTATGCGGTTTATTTGCCGATAGTGAATTTCCTTTTTTAGCTGCAAGTCCTGGTAATTATTAATATGCGTTTTTGGTACCTACTTTTTTTTTAAGTCATTAAATATATTAAATAACATTTTATTATTCAGATGGTTTGGTTGGAGAAAATGGAGTAGTAGAAATAAAATGTCCAACTGTGGCAATAAATTCCTTAAACGCCGTTGACGCTGTGAATAATAAGCTAGTAAGTATTTTTTGTGTATGTAATTTAATTATTATTGTATTAATAAGCCAATATAATATGATGTTTCCTTTTAGTTAAAATACTGCAACATCACGAATGACAACAGAATTGAACTTGAACGCGACCATAAATATTATTATCAAGTTATGGGACAAATGCGCATAACAAATCGCAGACTGTGTTATTTTGTAGTGTATACCCCTAATTGGACAAGTATACAGGAAATTAAATATGACGAAATATTTTGGAACACAAAAATGGCCGAAAAACTTATAAGGTAAAAATAAATTTGAATATTTATTAATTTTATTAGTAGGTAACATAGTTACTAATTAGATTACAAAATAATGTAAAATTATTATTTTTTAGGTTTTATATGGAGTGTTTACTACCGGAAATTGTCGACCCACTTTATAGTAAAAGCTTCGAAATCACGGATATTAGAGAACCCAAATATAAAAAGGAGGCACAAAGAAAAAAATTAAATTAATAATAAAATATAGAAATACTGTACGCAGTAGGCTTATCAAATTATATTAAAGTTCATAATATTATTATAATGTTGTTTTTAAATATACTAGGGGGCTTGGCCTTCTGCTCATTATGCTCACAAGTCACAACTTGCAACCTTTAGATTTTTCTAAACCTGTAGGATGTTTTATATTTCAAATGTCATAGTGCTACTGCTGGGTATTAGCTACTCGCCTCAAGCATTCATAGCTAAACTATAAATTCTCCATTTTTGAGGTACACATTTAAATGGTCAAAAATTCTTAATTTGACAAGTAAACAGTAAACCTGTGTGTAGAACAATTTAAAGTATGAAAGAAAATAAATTTTTAGTCTACATATTGGTACATACAATGTACAAAATACATAAGGGATCAGGCAAACCGTGGCTATTACCTATTTATGATTAGTTAGTCTTTCGGATATTAAAAATATTACATAATTTACGTGTATGAAGTCTACGACAAACGGTCCTAGCATAATGAGCAAAGCTAATGCGCTCCTGATTCCCGAACGGACGGTGGAGTATAAATAGGCATGGCCTATACGAAGCGTTCGCGGATCGTGAAAACACGTAACAGCTTGTTTCGTAGTGCTTTGCTCTGTTTCGTATTCGTGTGTGGCGTCCTCTTAACAGAGTAAATCTAATGGGGAAAATAAATTTTTCTTTTTGATGAAGTTTCATTTTATTTTTTAATATTACCTATACCCAATTACTTATTCTCTCTCTCTCTCTCGATAGTTTCAATTCTTACTTATTATTAAGAAAATACAATAAATAAATATTCAAATGCCATAATCACCTAGAGTTTTCGCTGAATGTTATTCTTTGGATATAAGATAAACAACCATGATGTCATGATCAAATATTTATATTTCTGATAAAATATTATATTTCTTTCAAGATATACTAGTTATCATTATCAATGAAAATCTTAAATAATAATAGGTACATCATGACTTAATTTCAATAACCTGTGTTAATCTATAAGGAGTGGTCAATAATACAATTATTTATCGAGGATTATTTAAAAAAAAAAAAAAATAATAAATGAATATCTAATTATTTTTCATTTTGCATGTGTTATGTTATAATTAATTCACGTTAAGTACCAGAAACGAGTTCAGTTAAAAAGCTACTTTGAAAGTAACTTTGTAACCAGTTATTGCCTAGCTTTAGGTTAGTTTAAATATTTGAATGTTGTTTGTATGGATTACTTATTTATTTGCCTTTTTTTCATTGTTTTCAATTTTTATTGCATTATAACATTTTTCAAAGACATTTTACAATTATTGTTTATGGATAGTAAATAATTAAATATAATAAGTAATAATTATTATTATTATAATTATAATATATATCAAAACAATAATATTATCCTGACGTAAATATAAATACAAATAGTTTTATTAATTAAAAAACATAGATACAAGTATTATATACACATAATTTAATCAATTTCCTGAATGTGACGCTTCATATATTTAAAATAATAATATGATAATTATGATAATTACACAACTTTATGCATTTAAATTTTCAATTCAACTCCACAGATAAAACAATAAAACTAAAACGATATTATTTTATTAAATTATATCATACATTATAATAGACCCAAGGCAAACATACATAGCTCTTTCTGGCTATTCAACTATTAACAAATAAATAATCAGAAAAATATTCACAGTTTAATACTAGGATACATTTCTAAAAAAGAAATAAAAATTCAAAATGCACCTTGTTTCGTTTATATATCATACACAATATACATTTTTTCTTTTTAGTCAAAGTTAGTTAAGTCTTGGAATCAAAAATTTCGGCTTGATGCAATAATAAAATACTAGAATTATAGTTACAATACGCTGCTATGATGAGCACATCATAGCAATACAATTGTATTTATATTTTACTGACTTGTTTATAAGATTAATAATATACACAAAATTATGAAAAATTGTATGCATATATATTAGGAAATTGTTAAATCTTAGCATCAGATAATTATTATGGTTCATTTTAAGTTCATAATTCCACGAGCGATACATATTATTTGTAACTGGACATCAACACTCTTATTAGGTAATGTAAGGGGATTACTGTTCTAAACGTCATATATGTTAAATTAGATGAAATTATTAAAAAAAAAAATATTATAACATTAATATCTTAACTTAAATAAAATTAAGTATGAATTATAATTACAACGTGAAAAATATATATTTATAATATGTATTAAACACATACTTATTTTGAAATAAAACGTTGTACATACATCTTAAAATAATAAAATAAAAATGAGATTTCAAATAGGAGTATGTTCAGTGTATCGCGGTGATTATTTCTCAAGATTTTAGTCTATATTATTAATCTTTGTTTTTTATTCAAATTTCATAAATACATAACATTAGTACACACATGAAAAAAACTAATGAAATGCATAACTTGATCTTACTTTATTTATTTATTTTAGAGAAAGCGTTGTTTTTTTGCTACAAAAATCTTAGATTTGTTTCATTATTCATTTAACTCATAGAAAATAACTATTTAATATGTATAGATATTAAAACTATATATTATGATGAAAAATTTATGAAACTCTGATTAAAAATCTGTCAATTCATTTTAATATATATGGTTATAAATAAATAAAATCGAACTAATTTATAATTTATGTTATTTTATTTCGTGCAAAATAATTTGTGGGATATGATCTTTATTATATCTGTATTCATAAAAACAAACATGTCCGAAGTGATTTTTTAACAACAAAAAGATATGTTAGTTAAGTGTAATAATTTAGGATTTTGCAGAAGTTATAATGTGTTATTTAATGATGCTCGGTTTGCCATTTTAGTCCCCTAAAGTTATAAATTTATACAAAGAATAGCTAAAATGTAGAGTAACAAACATTTAGAAAAAAACAACTTTTAACAACATAAGTATTGAAATAATACATTGAATGAATTAACACTAACAAGGTTTATAAAAAAAAAAATACTATTGGTATGCAAGACAAAAAACAACAACAAAATAAGACAATCTAATGAACCCTAAAACATTGACCAAATACACGCGCACACAAGATAAAAATAAGGAACGGAATTGAGCCAAATCACATCATAATATTAGTTGTATACAATTTGTGTGTTATCCTTTGGCACGTTTTGTTCTAAGCTTAATATATGTCTTATAGATTTTACATTGTGTACTGCAATATTAAAAACCATGTTATATAGAATAATATAACAGTACATGCATTATATTACTTCTATGAAAGTCAAAAGAGGACTGGGAAAAATTATTTATATAAATATGTATTATTCGTATTAAATAATGTATATAGGAATTGTATTAAAGATGTATAATGCATTGTTATTATGTATCAAACATAAAATCCAACAAAAGAAATTGATAGGGATCATATATTCATAAAATTGTAAAATTAAAATTCAATAATTATTAAAAAACAAACAAAAAATAATTGTAACATATTTTAAGTGCTATTGAAATAATTGGTATAATAATAATAATCATAATAATAAAAACAAATTAAATATAATTTTACTACAAGCAAATTATAATATCAAGTCTACTCTCATAAATGTTTCTTTAAATAATTAAATACATATATATATAGTAAGTATGTATATATATTATATAAGTATAACAAAGAACAATGAAAGAATATAATAGGGATTGTTTTGTTATTTTCGCGAAATGGTAACGGAGAAAATAATAAATGAATAGAGATTAGAGAAGTTTCATTTTGATGTTAATATAAATGTACATTGAATATTTTTTTGCATTTAATTTGACACATTAAATATGGTTTGACAATTTTTATTTTTTGTTAATTAAATTTATTTCTAATGAAGATTTTATATTTATAAAAACAAAGAAAAAAATTATTAATTTATTAATATTAGATACATAAAACAGAAAATTTGATTTAAATGGTTTTTTATCAATAGATTTGTAAAATTAAATTTGTAAATTCGCAATATTAAATTTAGATGGATTAAAATTCTGGAGGGGGGAAAGGGTTGTTAAAATTCCCACAGGGCAGTGGTTAAGTCCCCAAAGCCCCCTAAACACACCCATGCATCATACTTTCATTTAAATACAAATATTTTTTTAGAAGTCATTAATAAATCGGTTTAAATACAAACATTATATATTAACAAAATCTTTAAAAATTCAATAGAAATGGGTATTATTTTTCATTTTAGCACATTTAAAATCAAATTATGTTCATTCAATAAACAAAATGTCTTCTCAATACAGATGGTATATATAATACTCTTACTATGCTATTATATTTGCTCCACTTATGTTATTAATTAATTTCTATTTTATAATATACACTTAAAATTCTACTAATGGTGTAAACTAAACATAGAAATCGAATGAAAAAGTGTTAAATTAATAATAACTGACATACATGATCTATGCAGTTTCAGAATGCGAATATAGAACATTATACTTATTAATTAAATATAGATCTTAGAAGTTGTTATTTTACTAAATAATATAATTACAATAAAGTGTGATCGTTTTGGAGTTTCGCAATAATATTATCAGTTGAAATTGGATATTTGCTGGGGGGAAACCATTGTGTTGAAAAAAAATAATTCTTGTACATTTTAAAATTATTTAAAAGTGAAACAGTTGTGAAACACAGTGATTTTTGTATCAAACCTTTATTATGATTTATTACATACATTTGTTAACAAGAATTTCCATTTTTTTTTTTTTTGGAATGTCCAATCTAAGTCAAATTTAATAATTTGATGTATTCTATCTATATAACATTTTATTATTTATATATATTATATCATGAATTTGGCGGTTCTTGGACCAATATAATCTATACGAACCGGAGGTAACTGATTTAATTGCACAAACCCAGTCAAAATGTATATAACAATCACAATACTTTCAGACACATCATAAATCAACTGATAGGAACCCACGAACCATTTGAACAAATAAAATACCAATGTACACGAAAACAAAAAATACTTAGGAGGAAAAATATTGGTAACGTGAAAATATTGTATTACTCTAATAATATAACAATAATATTGGTTGAGCAAAAAGATGACATTGAACAAATTCGAGTTAAAATCGCAAAAATTACGATATCGCCGAACATATAGAGAATAGTTTTATTTAACAGATTATTTTTTTTTTTTAAGGTAGAATTTTCATAAAAAGAGAAAAATATAAATTTATTATAAGATTCTAATGTGCCATTGTATACGAAGTTAGTAAATGTAATACTCTGTGGTAACTTCGGCGTATTTTTTTACTCAAATTTATTAAATAAAAATATTAAAGTAAAGAGTATTTACATTTTATTAAATCGAATTCAGGATATGAAAAAATGTAATATGATTGATAAAAGATAAATATCATGAGAGATAATAACTCAAACTATTCTCATAGTTGCATACAAGTCGTCAATGAACCGTTCCCTGAATATATAACCAAGTATTATAATATTTACAAATAATATTATTATAAACAATTGATAAAAGAGATTAATACAATGCGCGATGGTTGAAAAAATATCAGAGAAAATATCGCAGTCTTTATACAGCGTTTCCGCGAGTTTAATAGTTACCACCACCATATCCAATATCCATACGGTTTACAGACAAATACCCACCACTTGATTGGATATAAGGTGAAACTCCATTACCACTATTATTGTTACCATACGACATGGAGTTTTGAGGTGGATAAGGGAAATTTGGAGTTGGCATGTGTATGTTATGTGTGTTATGTGAATATCCATTTCCAGGTGGTCCTAATCCCCCATTAAATTGCATTGAGCTGGCATACTGATTGTTGTATGGCTGTTGGTACTGTTGTTGTAGTCTATCCATGTCCATCATAACACCACCAGAATGATGATGATTATAATTTATTGTAGGTGGTGGTGGTGGGTATGATGAAGATGTAAGGTTGCTAACAGAGAACGTTGACGGTTGAGACATTGTTGCTTGTTGATGATGATGATTTGCCCCATTTGTTAATGAGCTTACTGAAAAGTTGTTCATATTTCCTTGGGGTGCACAAGGCGATGACGAATAAGAATAATTTAAAGAGGGAGAACATGAGTAATCACTAGGCATGTAACCTGAATTTGATTCATCCATATACTGATGATGATGATGGTGATGTCCACTATGCTGTACATCACTATCGTTCATGTTAGGAATTTGTTCAACTAAAGATTCCAAGCCTGATAAACTTTTTGCTGTAACATCTTGATTATTTGTTATCTTTTGTTGGTGTGGATGTTGTTGTTGCTGTTGTTGTTGTTGTTGTTGTTGCTGCTGCTGCTGCTGCTGTTGTTGTTGTTGTTGTGGATATCCAGTTGGTGGTGGAGGATATACTGGAGATTCTGCTGGAGGATAGGCCGGAGATCCTGCTACAGATTCTACATTGCCTGAATATTCATCATATCCATGCGATTGAGGGTAATGATGCATATCCATCTTTGTATTTGTTTTTTGTGGTTGCTGAGATCCACCGACTGTATTATTAAACTGACATTCCATTTGTGATGGTCTAGAGTGTTGGTCAACTCCAATTAGATCTTCTTTGGTTACACCGCCACTATGTTGACTGCTGTGAGGACTATTATCTTCGGCCAGCAGGCTAGCTGGTGGCTCGAAATCAGGTGGACCCAAACTGGGTGATGCTGGAGATCGTGATCCTAAGTTATGTTCTGAAGAGATAGCTGCACTGATTTCTGACGACAAATCAGAATGTGTAAAGGATGGAGCTTGTGGTGACTGAGAATACCTATGTTGTTGCGATTGAATTGGCGAACGATGATGGTGAAAATTTGCATTGTTGTTTCCACCACTGCTACCTCCACCACCGCCACCACCGCCACCACCACCACCACCACTGTTAGATATAGGTGAATGTGAAGAGCTTTGGTTGTTATATATATTATTTATAACATTATTTCCTCCATATAACTGTGACAAGTTCATGGGAGACTGAATTGGCGGAGAGAAACAATTTGATAATTGAGTTGATGGGTTACTATGTTCACAAGATAAAACTGGTGGCACAACATTATTTGTTGGTGGTAACTGATTTGGGTCGGGCTTAATTTTTTTCGGCCTCCCTCTTTTCTTTTTAGGCATTCCTTCTCGTTCTTCCACTACCTGAGGTTTAGGGCGCTTAACTTTCACTTCTTCAGGTATTCCATCTTTAGTTTTTATTTTCTTTGGTCGCCCTCGTTTTTTCTTTTGAACCACAGGTGGTTCATCTTTAACATCGGCAATATTTTCTATTGTTTCTTGGTTTTCAACTACTGAATTATAGTTGTTGAAATACACAGATGGCACTTCATCTTTAGGTTCTTCTTTGATATCTGGCTCATAATAATTTTTTAATTTAGTAAATGAGAATACCACTTCACTGTCATCAATTTCGGCCACCAGACCATTTAAATAATCTCGAAACTTCTTTAACGCAGCATAAAATGGTACTTTATCAGCTGCGCGTGGCAATTGTGCACATCGGGCACTAGATGACGGCATTACCCACATATACTATAAAAATGGTAAAAAAAAAAATGAATTAATATATGTATGACAAAAAAACATAAGAAATATAAAATATGTTTAACTGTAATGTAATTAAATTATTAGTTTACTTCATAAATAAAATAACAATCTCCATAGTGTAAAAATATACACAAAATATTGGTGAAAATTATTATAATAATTGGTTCTTATAAATTAAATTAAACAAATAGGGGAAAATCCAGAACACAATACGATCTATTATAAAACTTAATACATAATGCAATAACGATGTGGACATCACCAATGCTAATATCTATGTCCAGTACTGATGATGACGACATGTAAAGTTGCTGAAATATGTTGTATCTATTTGTTTTTTTATTTTTAAACACTAGATTAAAATTATTTTTATCATCAAATATTATTGTTCAAACCATGTTTAAATATTGTTATAAACATGATATCAAGAAGAAAGAGAAGTATTTTTGAAATAGCAACTTAGTAAATTGAGAACTTATTAATTTAGGAAAATAAATTGTAAACCTAATACTTAACTTAAAATAAAAGACACATTCAAAATAAAGTTAGTGATGTCATGATATAAATATCAAGTATTAATAGTAAATAAATAAAAGTTTACCGTATTTGTTCCATCTACGAGTTCGGGTTGACGACCAAATGTAAAATCTTTTTTCCCAGAAAACACCTCAAAAATAAGTTTTCCATTGAATACTGCAATTTTTGGTTTAAATCGTTGTAGCTTTTCGAGAAGAATTTGACTTCCTATTGTGAAAAAAAAAAAATAGAATTAATTTTTTAACTGAATTAAAGAATATTTAATTCTTGTTTAATTGCTACTGCTTGCTGTTTAAGAAGTAGATAAGAACTGTAAGGGTACATAAAAATATGTTAAGCAAATTAAACAATTTTGGATTAATGAACATAATACTGATTGTCAAATAAGTTCTGATTACATTTTTAACAATGAGAAGTAAAATAGCACTTAGCATAAAATAATATGGTGGGAAGTGGATTCTAAACCGATCTGTAATATTTTCAAGAAATTTAGTTACATGCAATAATTATAAAATATTATATATTATGCATGTCATATTTCAAATTAAAAAATAATGATATTTATTTATTTATTAAGATTCACCGGACTGAGCCCTTTAAATAATAGTGCCTAACACATTTATATATACAAGAACAACTACTAATTTTACAGCATACAAATATTTATTTAATGATACTAAACAATTATAATGTTAATTGACGTAATTTTATAAAAGTGGTCAAGATAATTCAAGTCAAAGGAAGATAAAAAATCTCTACAAGATATTTATTAATCGAGATACCTAACTCAAATTTAACCTAACCTAACCTCCAGGGAGTAACAAGTTGAATTTTAAAGTTTTTTGAGTTATTGCAATTCAACTGTATAGCAATAATTGGCAATATACAATATTGGTTATCTACAAAATTTAAAATAATACATTATTAACCAGATTATAGAAAACAAACCTTCTTTAATTTCTTTTCTTGTGAGATCAGCACTACCTTTTGTAGCTCTTTCCACCATATTTGTAAACCCTATACCATTTTGAAGTAGTTTATAATCATCATCCGCAGTCATGGGTTCTGGTGTAAGACCAGATAGGTATAAACATTTCCCTATGAATGTAAAATATAACAAGTTAGTAATATAGCATAGATAAATGTCAATAAATTAAGAACATCATCCATAGCTCATTGTGTGAAACAATTAAACTTATTTAGAATATTATGTATTTACTCACAGAAATGATTTCCAGGACCTGCATAATGATGACCTTTATAAGCAGCAAATAAACCAGGATTGATACCAATCTGAAAATGTGGAAGTTCAATTAGTTAAATTATTAATTATATTAGGTAATAAACTTAATATTTTATTCTTACATAAAAAAGTTCTTAAAATATATTTTATATCAATTAATTTAATTTATGTAAAACAACAGTAGATAATACTTGACATGTAAAAAGACACGATAAAATATACCTATAATATACAGTTCTTAATATGATTATGGCAATATGAGATAATATATATAATATAGAGTTCATAATAGCCTTATGGTAATATGAAAATACTAGATATATCATCACAAAATTGAACACATAAAGTAGTGACAGCAAAAATTTATTATACTCACAATCACAATATCTAAATTATTCGTTAGATGGTCAGGTAAAGTGCGCTTTGATACCTCTTCTTCAGGCATGCCATTAAAACGGTCATGTTTTTTTCTTTCCTTGTAAACCTTGGCAGGGTTTGTCAATAATTTATCTTTTGGCAACATATGTTGCATTAACCCAAATGCTTGATCAGGATTTAAGCATTGCAAACTAAACATAATTTAACAATTTATAAGTCTTAAATATGCATTTAATAATATCAAAAAAAATATATTAATAGAGATCATAGATTAGTTTACCTCATCTGATCCTCAGGTTTAAATTTTTTCTTCCTGCCTCGCTTCTTTGGCATGTGTTGTAAAATCATTTCTTCGGTGTATTGCAAGTTTTGTTGACCATGATGCTGCATTTCTTCATCAACAAAACTATATGGATCATCAGGCATTTCATACTTAATCTGGTGTTGTTGCATGTTGTTCATTTGATGATGATGATGAGCATGACCATGGTGATGTGGATGCATGTGTGTATTCATATGTTGTTGTTGGTGATGATGCATCGGAGGTAACTGGTTCATAATATTATTATGATGCTGTGCTGCTGCGGCTGCAGCTGCAGCAGTAGCTGCTGCAACGGCTACTGCGGCCGAATGTTTTGCTGCAGCTTGTTCAGCATCGGTACCACCACCACTAGTTTCATATCCATCATCCGCACAAGCAGATTCTTGTTTTACAGAAGATGCTGGCTGAGGTCCATTGTTAACAACGTCACAATTACCATAATTGTTAGACCTACAAACATTTAAAAATCAACCAATTAATTACAATAATCAATCTATTACGAACAAATAAGAGGTAAACATGAATTGATGCGAGAGTCGAGTGAGTCACTAGAAGAGGTGTGTTGAATTGATATGATTATTTCTAATTTTAATTCAATGGTAAATCAATATCATCTATGAAACATCCCTGAATATAATTAATGGGTTATTCAATTATAAATTCTTATAGTTTCAAAAATATTAAACTAAATAATTTTTAGTTACTTATACTATAATTTAATTTAAGGTTAACTACTACAAAGTATTACTAGTAATAACTGTTACTTGTTACTTTTTTAAGAACAATAATTGTTAACTACAGAAAACTGTATTTTTTTTAAGAAACATATATTTGCTATTGTATACAATAATTTCAGGTCATAGACAAATAACAAAACTGTTGTGTAGGGTATTTTTTAGTTTTTAATTCATAACATGACGTATTACATATGTTATCATGTACTATTAACATAGATTGTGTAATAAAATACAAGCATCCAATTATTTTGTATGTCTAGAAATAGCTCGAGAAATAGTTTTAATACATCGAGAACATTATGAACTATGTTTAACCTAACAAATGCAAGCTGTAACTACCTACACTCTAATAGTGTTATGTAATAACGACAATAACTAATAATACGACACGTTCGCATTAATTCAATATTTCGATATTAGAGAAATGATTTTATAAAAATATTGATGTTATTGTCGTCCACATGACCACATTCGAATATTAAATATTATAATTTAGTACGTCAATACAACTGAAAAGTATTAAGAAACGGAATTGCTGCATTAAAAATGGCTAAATTAAATATTGAAACAAAACTCGTTGAATAAATACGGTCAATTTGAGCATGAAACGAATATCGAGCACATTATTGCGGGTAGGTAGGTGTTGACCGTGTGTTATATTATTTCCGAGAACATTTTGACGGAAGAACGTAGGTAATAATATTATGCGTATTACTCCAACGCCCAGAGAGTGTACCTAACAACGATTATCATAAACACGCATTAAGTAGGTTTTTTATTCAAAAGTTCATACCCACGGTCGATTATATAACATTATGGAATGGACTCTACCCCAGTAGTATTGCAGCAGAATGATAGCTTTCCGTTCATACGTCGATAGATAACTTTCACGTAATAGGTCATGGGGAAAAAATGCTTTATTTTTTATTTTAGTATTTTTTATTAGGCATCCGATGGATAATCATTACAGACTCGAGTCCAAATTTTTGGATTGATATTTATTACTAACAATTTAAATTATTATAAAATAAAATTCGGGGGATGGAGTGGCCGAGCGGACCAAGGCGTTGGTTGCGATGCGCACCGACGCCGGTTCAAAACAATCGCTGCGGGCGGCATTTTTCTTCGGACACGGTGTCCGGAGAGAAGGGCCGCCACCCCGGCATGGCAGATACCCACGGGTGCCCACTGAAAAATCTACCAAACTAACAAACACACGTGTTTAAACCTACAGTTCCCTGCACCACAGTTCGAAACTACCCAATGGCCTAAGTTGCCGGGGGTTACTTAATAAAAAAAAAAATTAATAAATAAAATAAAATTCTGTGAATCGAATAGAATAACGTGCCAATCAAGTCCCTGCGGGCGTACGTACGTGAGAGCAGAGTTTCGTACGGTGGGTTGAACGAAATTACATGTGCTCGGGAGGGGATGTTCTCGTCGGTGGCTCCGTTATAATATTAAAACACACTAGATTGGACGGTACAGACTCAATTCATTTCTATGGAAATAGTACCGATAAGTTACGGTCTGGACCCAGGTACCTGCCTGATTTAACAACCCGACAACAATAATATCATATCGTAGTACTGTAATAGGACCACCGTCCCGTCGGGTTTCGTTTGATCAAAACTTCGTACCGGTTCCGACGTTAAGCGAGTTAGTTTTGCGCACGCGGGACGTCCTCCGTGATGGTGGGAGTGGTTAGGGGATGAGGGGAAGAGTAATGCAGAAGCGGGGAAAGGAGGGGCGGCGTCGGGTATATGATGGGTCGAGGGGTTGGCGGGACCGTGGAGGGTGGGGGGGGGAATAAGAAAGAGGGAGATTAGCGAACTGGGTGGCGGCGGCGGCGCGCGCGGCAGGGTGTATTGATTTATGATTCCGGCCAACACAACAGGCAACCTGGTCAGGATACGTGCACAGGGTTGCAGGAACAGAGGTCGTAGAGAACTGAACGCCACCGCCACCGGGGTTTATACATTGGTCGTTGAACTTATTATTATTTTGCAGGGTATGAGGTATTTAAAAAAAAATTTTACCCGTGTGCATTCCTAACGGTACACACTCAAAAGCAAAATATTTCATTGTATTTCGTTGTCCAGCGATAAAATAAAAGTAATGTTACGATATTTGAAAACGAATATACAATGGAGTCTACTACGGTATTATATATAGGCGCCCAATACATAATATTCTACGTCAAACTGAAACAACCGTTAGAAATATTGTAAAGAGTTTTATTGGTTCACCGTGTTGCAGTAAAGTTTGCAAAGTGAAAAAGTTTTTTAAACGCACCTATATAGATGTATAAACTATATAAAGTACCTCGAACTGTTGTATACACCACGCTGTCTTATTATTAATACCTACCGGACGTAAACTAACCAGACTAAACTTGTTTTGGTTTTTAAATATAACAGGTAATTAAGGGTGAAGAACTAAATATTAAAAAAAAATACAATTAAAACGTCAAGAATTTAAAAACGAACCCAATTAAAAAAAACCGCCATCCTGAATATATTGTATTTTCCGGAGTATTTTCATAATGAAATAAAGTAAGTTTCCAATACTGAAAATTGTTAACTAACTCTTAAAATCTAATAGACAGTCGAAAAAACGATTACTTTGAAATTAATAAAACTTGTACCGGTATATTATATAAAATTAACATGACATTGAATATTGTTTCTATTAGTAGTAACGGTCACATAGAGGTTAGGTACATCATATGAGCAAAGTACCAACCATATTTTGTAGGTATGAAATGTATTAGCAAAAAAAATGTATTAATTGCTAACACAGCGGAAACAATAAACTCTAAGGGGTTTTATAGGTACCTACCTATAGTATAATAAATGGTTTTTTTTTCACGCATTTAAGTATATAATCGGTACAGGTCATTCGGCTCAATTTACAGACGACACGACAACGACATATCATATTTATCGTAATATATTTACTAGGTACAATGTATTTTTATTAAAACCAAAAACGCAATACATGCTTATAATATGGCGAATGTGTAGTTTAAATCATCCCTGCTGGTGAGTGGTTGTAGTGGTGGGGGTGGGTGGTGTATAATCGAGGAAGTTTATTGATTAATTTTTTTTTTTTGAAAGCTGTGTGTATATGATGGTGGTATCCTACGGCGTCCGGGAGCTCTTTTCGGTGGCGGGGTGATGGAGTTTCCATAGTCCCCGCCACTTGAAAATCCGGAACACCGAGGGACATACGCACATCCTGTACAAGCATTTTGCGTTTCGCCGTCGACAAGAGAGAGACGCTGACATTTTGCACACACCCAAAAACCCAATCGTGCGTTAAGAATATTATATTATCGTCAACGAATTATTTCTATTAATAGAACCACACACGTCTCTTTATAATACACTGACCTACAATTCGTTAGGTACTAATCTTTGCTACTAATCGAATTTAAAACCTCCAGGGAAACTAGCGCGTTATTACTGCGGTAGCTCAAACTCTTTGAAGGGACAACTACTACTACAACAACAACTACAACAACAACAATAATATAAACATTAGGTTAAGCCTTTACTCTGTACAGATAGCAAGATGAAAGTGGGAGGGGGAGCACGGTTAAACAAAACGGAAGATAATGAAGATATTATTATTCTCTGAGCGAGGATGACATAATAACAATAATAAATTATGTACACAGAGATGCGACGAAGTATACATAATAATAATATTATCATATCGTATAAGAACGGGTCACCACGTCTCGAGTACACGGCGATACGGCGATAATAATAATTAAGTGACGACGGAAATCGGTAAAAAAAAACGAATTACTACAGTATTATAGGAGGCGGCAACGATGAAAATCAGACGCAAATTATTATTATTTTTTTGTCACCCCACGTAGGAGTAAAAAACACGAACAGGGAACGTTGTCCGTCTCATATTGGCAACCGATAATATTATACATGTTTTTTTTAAATCGTCGGTCTCCAGTCGTTCGGTGGCGAACCGTCACCGTCGAAAGCGGACAAAACTAATGTTGTGGCGATATCGCAGTCGTGTGACGTGTAAACGATAATAATTAGTGTGCGTGTGAGCTCGTGTGTATTCGCCATAGCAGGCTGTTGTAGTAGCCTCCAACTTGCGCCACACCATGGCGATGTGTTACGCGCACGCGCATGAACGTGTCGGTCGATGCGGACACACCACATTCGATCGCACGAAACATTTTTCAGGAACGCAATAATAATATTATATTATAATAGGTACTATTATTATTATTATTATTATTTGGATGATAAAATAATATATTATTATGACTGCAGTGTATTGAGCGAGATAAGAATTTTTAAAAAACGTAGAATTATTCTCATATCAAATAATAGGTAGGTATTTTTATTCGGCACGGAGTCCGCTCGAAAACGGAAAGTCGGAACTATATTATACACACGTCTTGTATCAATTCGTTACACTACAACCCATCCCCTCCAACCATAACAACGACCGGCAAGTAGATCCAACCCGTTTTGAAAAATAAAATGTAGAAACGAAAGATGAAAAAAATGGAACCCGTTTTTGGAATTCTAGTCGCACATGCACTCGGTTTCATAGAGTAGCGAATACTAACATCGAAAAGTGAATAAATTAAAACACTCAATGTTGATTACTTCTTTTTCTCGTTGACAAATCTATAATAACTAAATTAAGTAGGTACAGCATTTTGAAATA